GGTCTATATTAGTATTTGTATCTACAAACTATATGCAAATGTAAAAAACCTAATATAATACAATAAGCAACCAAACTGTCATTTCTTCTCCCAATTATTATTGCCTTTGTGTACAAGTACAGAGAGCACTTGGTGATCAATACCATCGACATGTGGATAAAGCAGGGAACCACTGGATGAGTAGCGAGGTTATGTAAGGATTTACAGAAACTTGCTGCCCCCTTGAGGCAAGAGAAGGATCCAATGTTATTATTCAGCAGGACATTCTTGAGAATAAATAATTCAATTTCAACAAGCAAGACAAGTGTTCTAGGAGTGCAGTAATACAGTAAAGAAACCAGCAAAGTCTTCCCATAAAACAGGAAACGCACCACCTGCCATGTAATATTATTTACCAACCTACAAGGGATGTTTATTGCTGTATTTTGAGGTAATTTGGCCTAACAATGTCTTTCCCCCGTACAGTAAAACTGAGGACTCAACTGTAATTTTAAGTTTTTTCTTCTTTTTAGAAGTGAAAAGGAACTATCAAATTCAAAAATCTGTTGTGTCACCAAAATCTTTGTTCTATTTGGTTATAAAAAGTCTTCGGGCTAATGCTGGCGTTAATGTGCTTCAGGGAGTCCCCAAAGTCTTTATTCTTGTGCAGTAAAGAAAGTTGTAAAAATATTACTAGCAACGTCTTCCCATCAAATGGGAAATGCACCAATTGCCACATGTCCTAATATTTATACATTATTGCTTTACCAACCTACAAACAGGTTTGTTGCTGGTTTTTAAGTTCATTTGTGTTAATGACGTATTTTACCCGTTGAGTAAAACTGAGGACTCGACTGTTATTTTATTTTCAGGGTTTTCCTTTGTAGAAGTGAAAACGAACTATCAAGTTCAAAAACCGGTTGTGTCACCAAAATCTTTGTTCCATTTGACGTACATATTAAGAGTCCCTGGGCTTACGCTGGGCTTAATGCGCTTCAGGGAATCCTCAAAGTCTTTTCTCTTGATGTTACGCATCTGTGAATACAGACAAAACAGCCTTACAGATAAATACTGTTGTAAAATGGTAGTCAAATGGGCATAAAAGAAAATAAATGTATTACTGTGAGCACTTTAACAGCATTACCTCACTAGCAGCCATACTTCGGACTTGGTCTGGTCCCAACTCTGTAAGAGGATTTTCACATGAAAAAGAAGCAGGTTCAGCTCACAGCAGAGGCTAAAAAATACATTAACCATAAGATAATGGGAGGAATACCACTTACCTCTAATCGGCCCGAGTGCAGCATCTTTGGCTAGTGACGTGAGATCACTTCCTGAATATCCTGCAGTCGCTCTATCAAGTTAACATATCCAGGAGTTAATGCACGTTAACACAAAAATGCAGTAAAGGCAGTAAGGCATGTAAATAGGAAACTCACTTAGCAAGATAGGACAGCTCATTTTTGCTCAGTGGATTGCCTTGCTTTCCCAAAAGGTTTTTCAGCAGCGTGAATCGTGTCTGGAGAGAGTTAAAACACAGTGAACTTGAAAACATGTTGTGCCATTCACATTTCAAAGCAAACAAAGACAATGATTGTAGTGACGAACTGTGGCGATGGGTCCACAGCAAATACCTCTTCATCCGGCAATGTCACATAAACCCTTTTTGCAAAGCGCCTGCAAGATTAACACAAGAGAAAACGTGTAGTGAGCATGTACAAAAGAAACAAATAATAATTGTGCAGCATGTGAAGTTGCATCGCGTACCTCAGTACTGCTTCATCCAGCTCCTGAGGCCTGTTGGTTGCACCCATTACTAGCACCCTGTCATCCCCTCCTGACTGCACCTGAAACAAAGAAGCACTGTTGTGAAAATAACACCAGCGTTCTCTGAGAAAGCCGTGACTTAAAACACTCTGAAATTGTTTCACGATCAAATGTCAGAGACCGTTGAGTGACCGCTGCTGTTGCTCTCACCCCGTCAAACTCAATGAGGAACTCGGTTTTTAATCGACGAGAGGCATCGTGTTCTCCCTCCCTCCTTTCACAGAGCAAGCTGTCAATTTCATCTGCATGTAAAATAAAACAAAATGAGGGGTTTATTTATGAGCTGCAATGTGGGGGATAAAAGTGTTTGGGCACATTTAGTATATAAATAGAGTTACACAAACCAATAAATATGACAGAGGGCTGTAATTCTCTGGCAACCGCAAACAGTGCTCGTACAAGCTTCTCGCCTTCTCCCACCTGTGATGGTGATGATAGGAAAGGTTTACAAAAAAAACTACACTTAATTTAGTGTAGTGTAAAGCACTAAAAGTGTTTTCTTACATATTTAGACGTCAAACTGGCAGCGCTGATGTTGAAGAAAGTGGCATTTGACTCGGCTGCGACTGCTTTGGCCTTGTGAGAGGAAGTAAAGGCCGTGATTCAGTTGATAATAATGAGCCAAGTATCGGTTTGCTGTGTTTGAAAGAACGCTTAACTCACCAGCATGGTTTTCCCATTTCCAGGCGGTCCAAATAAAAGCAAACCCCGTGCGGGAGCTCTCAGGCCAGTAAAGAGCTAAATATGAAAAAAAACATTAAGTGTAAAACTGAAAAAGTCAAAATAATGTACGCAGGGACAAACCATTTGTAAGTCACCTCTGGTCTTAATGCAGGGAGGATGACAATCTCCTGGAGTGCTTGCTTGGCCAGTTCCTGTCCAGCAATGTCTTCAAAGGATACAGACACGCTGCTGCAATGAACACAGAAAGGTACTTTATATGCAGCTCAGGATTTTTTCATTTCACTGACGGCGAAATGTGAAGGTGTTGTAATAGAGATGCTTCTAAATACCTGTCAACAATTTCATTCAGAATCAAGTTGGCCAGTTTGCTGTCCACATTCTTGAAATTTTTCATATCCTTCTTTGGGGGCTGTTTCCCAGCTGCAGGTCTTCCATTTTGAGCTTTCCCTCCATGTGGGGTCACCTTAGCAAGAACAAAAATATCCAGAAAGCATTACGCACTTCATCAGAATCAGATGTATTGAAATAGCATTCAACTGGACAACTAAATGGAATTAAAAAAACAAAAAAACACCTTTGGATTTGAGGGTCTAGATGGGGGTCTGACCGCAGTGGAGGGCCTGATGTTCGTAGACGGACTTTGCACGGCGGGCTGGCTTTTGGGCACAGGCTTTGGTTGTGGAAGAACACGACTTGAGGTCTGGGGATCACTTCTCCTTTTAGTTGCCAGTGTTGCCTCTGTGAAACAAGAACAGCATTGATCTTCATCCCTGTTCAGCTTAGACAACACTATTATTTTGGTAAAACAGAGTCTACACTTTAGGATGACAACCAAGATGCCACTTACCTAAAAGGGAAAGCCTATCTTTTGCCATGGAGAGATTGGCGACCATTTTATCTTGAAGCCTCCTCGCTCGCTCATATTGACCTCCTGTTAACACAACATGGGAGTGTTGAGGCTGAAGCATGTCAACACTGTACACCTTGTACACCTGGACGTCCTAACGTTACCTTGTCCCTTGATCTCTACCGCAATACCCCTTTCAAGCTCAGCAATCCCTTTCTTGTACCACTGCACAGCCTGCTCCTTGTCTCCTGTTATAATAGAGGAGGGGAGGTGTTGATAGCAAGCTGTCACACACAAAAACACACCAGCTACTGACACAAGACAATAAACCAACCTGTGTCATCTTCGTCGATCTTTAAAGCCTTAGATACACACTCAAACGCCTGCTTATGGTAGTTTTGAATAACTTCACCGCTGTCTTTGCTTTTACTTGCGTTCATATTAGCCGCCTTACTCTCTCGCTAACGTTACCTTGTTCTCAATTGTAACTTAGAGTTAGCTGTTTATTGAACAGGACACTGTAAAATGTAGCTTTTAAATAGCATTTATAATTGGGTCAACAACAAAAACATCTTCTCCCACTGGCTTCCGCTTTCCGTGTATCCGCTTGACAGCTGTCCCCGCTCTCCCGTTCTGTCCCGCTGACAAAATAAAGAATACAAATTCCGGTTAGATTTTCTGAATAAAAGCGTAATTTATACAAACGTAAATGACTAAATGGCCTCTGACTTGACGTGTAATACAGTATTTCCCATATCAACTTCCTGACGAGATTTTGTTCAATTGTGAATTGTAAATAAAGGAAGAGGGGAAAAAAAGACAAAAAAAAAAAAAGTATTTCCCGTATCATATGCTGCATTTCCTATTCTAGACATTACTTAAACATTTTTGTATTGCATAAAGATCAAATTAAAAACATCGACGCCGAGGATATTTTGTATTTGTCCTTTACACCGAGATGATTGTCTTCAAAGTAAAAAAACAAACAAGGGTTTAGTTTTTAAATTAAATGTGTGAATAAAACACTAAGGCAGCACAAGACTCCGGCAAGATGAGAGGAGGTGGACTCTGTGTTATACATCTATGATGCTTGGTGCACAAGATGGACTCCAAAAGTTTCCCAAATGTTTATTGTGGAGATGAAGCCATATTATCATCTAGTTGCTGCTGTTTACACTCACCTCAGATGCAAATTCAAAAAATGCACTGCGGAATGTTTGGGGTGTATACGTGAATGTATGTACATAAATAACTGTATTATTCTTTTTTACTTTATATGTTACCCTATTTTAATATAGGTCAACACCTAATTATATGTTTTGAATGTAGCATGAAGGAACTACAAATTTAAATTCGTTATCGAGCCTTGTACTACATAATGACAAATAAACAACCTTCTACATTAATACTAAATCATTTTCGTAATATTTTCAAGGTAGGGAGCAAGCATGCATTTTGGTTGACATCCTGTTGACAGTCACGCTTCCATCGGCATCCTGTACCCGCTCACCTGACGGGCAGTACAATTTTATAATCAAACATCATTTTATTTACGGACACGCCTCCTCGATTTTCTCCACGAATCGCAGGCGACCAATCAAAATGCACTGACGTCATCGTGATAACAGTGTCCGACACGCCCCTTACCTGTTTCGACAGACAAACCAGTAATCCTGTCATTCTGAGTGTAACAGTTCTTGGTCTTGTTATTGCTCTTCTGGCTGGCCAATATTAGCACATTACAAAGATTGTATTTGTATTTTGTGCCTTTCCAAATTTGCATGACAAAATCTTCAGGCTGTCTAACAAACTGACGTTAGCTTCTGTCTCCGGCTGATTTATTAACCGGTAACAACACAACGGCCAGCTGACGGAGCACTGAGCTTGTTAGCCTGCTAGCCCAGCTGTCTCTCCAGCCGAACTGCCCTTTGTCTTTACAAGCAACTTAGCTAGCAGGTGTTGTTTCTTCTCTGGGTTAGCTGACATCGGCTTTAGCTATTTTACTTTTGTCACCTGACAAGAGCTAAGTAAACCAAGATAGGCGGCTTGGGAACCAAGATGTCGAATCGAGTGGTGTGCAGAGAAGCAAGTCACGCCGGGAGCTGGTACTCTGCTTCGGGTAACTGTCAACAGAGCACCGCCCGCGTTAGCTCGCTTTATGCTAGCTGCTTGTTGTTGTTTTTTAAATGACTGTGTTCTATTGGTTTTGTTGACTTTGTATCTTGTATAACCTTTAATATCCTGAGATCAGAAACTGTCGAATTAATGGCTTGCCAATGCGGATGGTGATAGCTAACGTTAGGGCTTTATGTTAACGCTAATCCATTTGATGAAAAGTCGGCTAGCTAACATTTCTCGCTGGCATTGACTCCCTCATCTCTTATCCCATTTCGTGCATGGTTGGTTTGAGCTTAATCAGCACTTCCTCCTCGGGTGGTCGATGAACATTTTTCAGAGCAAACTGACATCTTCTGTTCAGCATTTTTTATTTTTTTTAACAACCAGTCAAATATACCAATTTTAACAATCGCTAACTCGGCTAATATTGCAGAACTTCCTGGCCTAACGTTACCTGCTGTTTGGCTAGATAAACTAGACATTTCGCAAAACAGTCTGCCAGCAACTAGTTTAACTTGAACTGCGAGTACTGTTGTGGTCATGGTGGTCTCTGACCCTGACTCGCTTAAGTTAGGTGCAGAAATAACAGCTACTCCCTGCCATGAAACAAAGGACTGGGTAGGGCAGGGCAGAAAACTGAAGCTTCATGTTGCACCCCTTCCCCCATTTCACTAGCTAGCTGCTAGTTTCTTTTGATTAAACCCCGCAAGCCTGCCTGTTTATCCCCTTTCCGTTGGCCTTGTTAGTAACAAACGTTTTCAACATATGGTAGCTAAACACTACCGATATTTATACTACATATAAACAATAACATGTCCATAAGCTACATCTGAAGCCTGACCTTATGTTAATCTACCCGGGTGTTCTTTTATGAAACTAATTACACTGGTTGTTTGTTTTTCCTGCAGACTTAATTATATGAAACAGTCAGCTGTGTTATACTGATGTTGCCATACTGTAAAGACACCGGTAAAGACTAACATTGTTAGTTGTACAGCAATACATGCAGTGTGTCCTAGTATAATCCACCCCAGTTAACAGAGTTTACAAGTAATCTTATTTTTGTTGTTTAACCTGGACCAGAACACTTATGGCCAGTTTGTCAGTGAAAGGCTTGAGTATTTTAAGTGAAAGGTCCCGCTTATAAAAGAACTATATTAGGTGTAATCAGGGTGGGGTTATCATCTGTATAGAGTATGAGGTGGATATGCTCAAGCTTATTCTAGTTTATTTATTATTTTCACGACAAGGCTAAATTAAAGGCCACTGCTACCACACTTGACGTACAGCGACATTGATGTAAACAATTGCTTTGATATTGGTGATCTATGCTTTCCTGTGTCTATCATATCCTGTTTGTATTTATCAGTTTATGATTATAGTGTTATTTGCTAGTGCTGGCCTGCTATGTCATTCTTAGTCTCATAAGGTAGCATTGATAAAGCAGTGTGAGTCAGTGGTTCCCTTTTAATCCAGTTATCTGAAAACTATTTTGTTTTTAAATTGCTTTGTTTAAAAAAACAAAACAAAACCCCCCCCCCAACCTTTTCAGGATCCCAGCTGAATGCACAACTAGAAGGCTGGCTGTCCCAAGCACAGTCCACGATCAGACCTGCTAGAGCCATCATAGCGCCGTAAGCACACGTTAACAAAAAGAGGAAAAATACAGTTTGAACATGTCAAAAGGTATTTGTGATGCTGTCTCATCCTAATTTGATATGTTTTGTTTGCAGGCATGCTGGCTATACCTACTGTGGTGCTTGTGCAGCACATGCCTACAAGCAGGTTGATCCCTCAGTTACGTAAGTCCATCAGTTTTCTATCTCTATTCCTTATTTCAGAAATTGCTTTGTGTGACCGTTTATCTTCAGCTTCCCCCCACAGAGTGAACAGATGTTAGTTTAGATATTAGAATATAGTGCTGGTGGTGTGCCTTTTGTGAACAGAGTGAGTGAGATAAAGTCCTGTTGCCCTTCAGTCGTAGGGTGTTCATCCTGGGACCTTCACACCATGTGCCCCTCTCCCGCTGTGCCCTGTCACCTGCAGAGATCTATAGAACACCTCTCTATGACCTGAGAATCGACCAGAAGGGTATCCACTGTTTTCACTCATGACATTGTGATTTCTACTTTTTTGTGTGTTCACACGTGCTTTACCCTTTCTTCAATTTGATGTTTTAGTCCAGCCTGACCAGAGCTCGAACATGCAGACCCCAAGCAGTCTTAGGAGGTTATACACTTTAATCATACTGCAGGGACCACACAGGTCCCTGGCTCTTAAGATAAATACTTTCTCAATGATGAGGTTTTGCTTTGCTAGGCACTTACCAGGTTCCAATTTAAATGAGTGTGCAGCTAATTACTTTACCAGTGGACATTGTCTTGATAACATGCACAAATTAAATTGAAACTCCCCTCTGTTTTACAGTTTATGCTGACCTCTGGAAAACTGGTTTGTTTGAGCGGATGAGCATGCAGACAGATGAAGATGAGCACAGTATTGAAATGCACTTGCCTTACACTGCTAAAGCCATGGAGAGGTAATGCATGTCGGTGTGGCATTCGTTTAATTAAATAAGACACTATACACTTGTAGAGGGAATGGTCTCACGGTATGAAGCTTATTCTTAAAGGTGCCCTGTGGAGTTTTTTTCTAAACAAGATGAAATGAGGTTTACATTCACCAAAGCACATTGTGTCTGTCCATGAGTTTAAGGAGCATTTCTGTCCTTATAAAACCTTTGGCAAGGCGATTTTTAATGTATTTTAAATCCTCCTTTGTTTACTTCCATGTATACATGCTTGCAGTCAAAACCAAAAAAAATCTCCACAGGGAACCTTTAACTATTACTGACGGCCATAGAAGAGCTCTTTTAGTTCTGTTCATTCCTATACATACTGTAAACCAGAATCACATTGGTGCAGGAACACATGGTGTCACAAGTGTGACATGCATAATTGATACAGCCGTCTGTTAGGTTGGAAGGAGTCAAATTTATTTTCTTGGTTCAGCAAAGCCGGGATCTGGTAGTATGAAGTGAACCGAGCACATTAGCTGAATGTACATCATTCGTGCAAGTTTAACTAACACCTGTGGAAAAGAAACATTACTAACGCGTAGGTGTTGCATGTAGGGTGTAAAGGTGCAACTCACCAGTGTCAGTTTACCATGCGGTAGGCTTGAGGTTTCCCATTAGTTTTCTCTGACGGATGCTCTATGAAAAACGAAACCAATTTTAATGCAAAATTAATTTAATGCCCATTGGGACAGAATTTTGACAGTGAGGTGCAGTTATTGCACCCAAGTTGTTAATTCAGTAATCTGATGTTGCAGCCACAAAGATGAGTTTAGCATCGTCCCTGTGCTTGTGGGCGCCCTGAGTGAGTCTAAGGAGCAGGAATATGGGAGGCTGCTCAGCAAGTACCTGGCAGACCCTTCCAACCTTTTCATTATCTCGTCTGACTTCTGCCACTGGGGTAGGTGCCGCCACATTAAAGCATTGAAAATGACTCCCTTTGATTAGATTACTCTGCCATTAAAAATTATAGTTTGTGACCTGAGGATAATGCGGCCCAAATGTCATAACTTGTGACATGACTACTTCCAGCTTTACACTGATGTCCATTTCTCTTCTGAAGGTCAACGGTTCCGCTACACTTACTATGATGAATCTCAAGGGGAGATCTACAGGTCTATTGAGCATCTTGATAAAATGGTAACTAGTGAGATATATTCGATTCAAATGTAAGATCACTTAATAAAATATGTACAATTTTTGATTATCAGCAGCTACATGCACCAATTTGAATACCTCATGTTCTCTTAATGTGACTATTTAATTTACCTGCTAAAAATATAGTGTTTCAGGAAATTAAAGGGCAGACAGGATAAGGATGTAGATTTTTTGTCTTGTTTTTCTCATGGCCACGAAGTTTGTTTTCTTGTGATAAGAAAGCTTGTTTTCTCGAAGGAGTTACAGCTGTTTTAAGATCCCAAGGAAAGAAAACATATGAAAACTGAAACATAGTTATATTGGAGCATGACATGACAAATCAAAACATGACTTCTGATTTTTTTGTTTATCTCTGCTTTTGAAGGGTATGGGCATTATAGAACAGCTGGATCCCATGTCTTTCACCAACTACTTGAAGAAGTACCGCAACACCATCTGTGGGCGTCACCCGATTGGAGTGCTGCTAAATGCAAGTACCACAGAAGAAGAGCCTTGCCAGGCGCATCAGTATTTAACATAATGTAGACATGTTGATGGGGGGGTCAGTTGATTGTTCACTAAGCTCTCTATGCAGTTTATAGTGATATCGTTGGCACATTTTAGCAGCCAAAAATCCTGGGTTTGACTACATACACAATCGTGTTGATGAGCCATGTAGCATACATGTCAATAAAAAAACTTGAAGATTATGCTTGTGTTGCAGAGGTTGAGGTAGTTAGTCCTGATATTTTAAGTATGACAAGTGAACACTTGAAGTTTAACATAATCTGTAACTCTACAAACTAATGTAGTTAATGACATCCTTCTTGGCCTTTAACGTAACACTTCTGTCGGTAGAAAGCCTTTTAGCCAAACATGCTAACATTTGCAGCTTACATTAGGGCAGACAAAGCCACAGTTTCATCCTCATGCGTCAGTTCTTGTGCTTTTGGTTTTTTTAAAGGCTAAAAAAAGACACCACACAATCACTTTTTGAGAGGGGTTTAGTGAATGCTTGACTGGCATTGAAGAACTGTAAAAAAGTGTGACATGTTGTTTATTGTGTGTGTAAACATGCTGCTAATGTTGCTGTCTTGCAGGCTGTGGCTGAGCTGAAGAAGTCTGGTTTAGAAATGAACTTCTCTTTCCTGAACTACGCCCAGTCAAGCGAGTGCAGGAACTGGCAGGACAGCTCCGTGAGTTACGCTGCCGGGGCACTCATCGTTCATTGAGGTCGACTTTTGCAGGGGCCACCGCAACGCTGCCGCCCTGCCCTTACTATCTATTGCCATAACCTGACCCAGACACCCTCCCTCTCACCCCACCCCTAGCTATGCCCACTATTTGCAGGAAGGACCTAGACTCTTGAAGCCAATGCAGTCCTCTTTCTCTGTCTCTCTCTTGGCTCTCCTCGGCCTTTCTCCGCCCTCCTCTCAGTTTGAAGTGTGTCTCAGAGCTTTTGGTTGAAACATTTTGTTTGAAGTGCAGTTTTGAGATTATGTCGGAGCAAATGGTTAGAGGAGATAAGAGGAGTGCGTATTATTTAGGCTCAAAATAAGCGTTGGGAGGGGGGAATCTTATTTGGGTTTTTGCAAGGACTGTAGTTGTCCTCTTAGTCCCTTTTTTTTCCCTGGATGGATTTCAGTTGTCATAATGAAGTCTTTACATTTGGACTCTTAGCGATCTGTGCTCATGTAATCTGCCTCAGAAAAGGAATGAAAATAAAACTGCAGATCTTAATGGAGAATATTGAAATATTGCTAGACTAAAATGAAGAGTGTTTTGACAGACTGCTTCAAGCTACATGCGAGTTAAACTTTGAAAACAGTGTCATAGGTAATTACTACCAATACTCAACATATGTGGTAATTGCTAACAAAGGGCTGCACCCTACAAATTTCACTAACTCCCTACTGTACAAAACCAAAAACTTTATTACTGTGTTTATTAAATATTATCCTTTAGTCACATTTTATTCCTTTTTAATTTTTCCCTTTTTTGTAGTTTTAGTAGACGTGATAGTATTTACTCCTGTAGTGTGTAGATTTGAACAAAAGCAGTGTTGTCACTTAAGCTCTAAAGCCATCAACATGGTTTGCCCAATAAATGAGTGTGTTCAACACCTGCTCCCAGATTCCAGTTATATGCTTGTAGCGTTATAGATTTTGCGAGGGCCAGAATACAGTTGTAGGGTGCTACAGAAATGTAATCAAAGCTGGATAGTGTGAAAAATTACTCTGACAGACACCTCTAGTTCTTTGTTTACACTGCCACCTTGAATCTTTGTGGTTATTGAATTGTCAGTGTCGGAGACCCAAGCAAAGACTTGCTAGACTCGTAGAAAATTACACATTCAGTTCTGTAGGAGCAGAAAAGCTTTTGTTTTGGCCTGAACAAATTGGTGAAATGGTAAAGGCCTCAGTGGTCAAAGTTGTAGGACCTCTTATTATATCTGTTCACTAGGTAGCATTGACAGCTCCTTTTAATTGGGTTTGATTTAATAATGCCAAACGTTATTGGAAAGATTTATGTTTTCATCCATATTTGAAGGTTTGCTCTCCGGTTCATGAGAATTCACTTCAAAATTACTCTGGAGGCAGTTGGAGTATCAATCTGACAAGAACTAAAAACAAGTAATAAATGGCCCACACAAAAATCATAATGCTTTTCCCTGTAATTTGGGTTTATTGGGTCTGAATCTGTTCAGAAAACACAATTTTACAATTTTTTAGAAATGAATGTGTTTGCTTTTCAAAGTAATTTGCTGTCCTGCTGCCTGAAATACTAACAAACTGCATACAAAAGCTGAATGCAAACACCTGATGATTCATAGTGGCAGTATAGGCTTTCAATGACGCACACAATGTCTGCGGTCTTGTCCTTTTGAAATTTGAATATCACTGACTGCTGACGTCAAGTATTCCCATTCAAAAGATGCATTAAGCTCCAATGTCTGGTTGAATCAAGTGGGCGCAGACTGAAAGATGAATCCCCAGACTCACTTGACCTCTGACGTTAATTTAAGGGAAACAAGTAAAGCATGACACACTGTGCTATTGTGCCTTTTATCACTGTTGCACATTTAAAGCGTATTCTCACTTTTAGTCTTACTTTAGAATGTGTACTTTCAGTTTTTGTTTTTCCACCTGTACCCTGACCCCTTTGACGAGTGCCCAACAATATGTCTAGATCACCCAGCACTCCAGGAGCGTGCGTGACCTGTCCCCGTCATCTGTTGGTCTGAAATGGCACCAACTGTTATCTCCTTTCTCCAGCAGGGAGGGGTGTTCTGTTTTCTCCACCTCACCTCATTCCTGTAGAGAGACAAAGGCTGAACCTCAACACTGTTTATTTTCTGTTTATGGATCTTTGTTTGTCTTTTAGAAATGGGTTTTTGTATTATTTCTTTCTTGCTTAGAGAATGGGAACTAACACGTCACAAATCTAAAGTATACTACTTAACTACTCCCTAAATGGAGTTTTTTTTATCTCAGGTTCCACTGACAAAGCATCCCAAAAGGCTCTTCAGATAAGGCCGTGGATTCATGTTACAAAACAAGTAAAATGTACTGAAAAGCACGTCTGCTCTGGTGTCTTGTTCTTCATGTATTTACAATCACACAAAAAAAACTGTTGACTCTGCATACGCATTTAATTTTTCAGTCACTGGGTTTGACGACTATGTTGATTTCTCCAAAGTTGCAACTAATAGGTAGCCTCTTTTATTTTTGCACCAGATGAAGCATGTCAGCAGTGTTAGTTTGGTTGTAAACTGCCAACACGTTTATGGTGCAATGCTGCATATATGGCAATGTAGATCCTGGGTGGAATAAATATCTTTTTATCAAGTGTTGGTTTACAGTGGAGACATTAAGAAATGTCACCAGCAGAGGGGGCCAGTTGGTAGAGGAATATAGTAAAATTAACACTCATTCCTTTATTTCAGAAAATAAAAACTCTCCAGATAGTATTGGATTTTCTGTTTATACACTCGGTTGCCAGTTTATTAGGTATACCTGGCTTAAAAAAATAAAGCGGTCTAATACAATAGTCCTACAATAAAACCTATGTAATGTTCACAACCATATAAATGTCCCTGTTGTAGTTTAATTATTTCTCAAAAGAACACTGGGTTGTACATTCCAAACCAGAAACAAGGGAGTTTAAAAACTAGATTGAATGCTGTACTTATCTACTGATTATGTAGTACAGGAGTATCTGGTTGTGATTCCTGAAACTGTAGACACATTTGTGGTTGTAATGTAATCAGTAGTTGTGGCTACATCTGGACTTTGATGACTTTATTGTAAAGTTATTATGAGTTTAGTCAGTTCTCCTGTTCAGTACCTCGGCCTATCTCTAAATTCCTCACCTATTCCATTCATGCGTTTGGGAATTAGTACGACTGGAAAAGCTTAATTTAAAGTCTGCAAATTTGCTCACAGATTGGTGCAGATGTTGCTATGTGTGTCTGTAAACAGGATGGACAGGCAGAGGAGGCTTTCAGCAAGGGACTTTGGTTGACTTCAGACCGTAACAGATTTGAAACAGCTGACTTCATGATCATGATGTTCCATGCAATTGTGCTCACTCCTATTGTAGCTTTGGGAAATTCAGCAATTTAACATCAGTGCGTACATTCCAAGGTGGAAAGGATCATCATAACCTCACATATAGCTGTTGACAAGGGAACACACTCATATTTCAGCAGGCCGGCACACCTCTCTCTTTGCTTTGGGAGGAGTCAGGGAGGCTGTTTACATCCATTTGACTTCATACAGCCACTTAAGATTAGTTATAAGAGGAAAAAGATTACTGCAGCACTCACCGACCCTGAGGTGCGGACCTGCGAGATGCACTGCTATGGGGACTTGGTCAGCTATCTCAGCTATGGGATGATCCTGACAGGACTCTGGCACCTGGTCCGTCACAGGACGACACAGACCTCCTATGGCCGCCACATGGGATTCCCACCTCCGGCTCGGATGGTCCCAGCGAGACTAGCCTGGTTCCTCCAGGAGATGCCAGCCCTCTTGATCCCCCTACTTTTAATGCTCACCTCATACAAACCCTCCAGTGTGGGGAAGTACCAGCTGCTTGGCTCCTTTTGCGTGCACTACTTTCAAAGGTAAGAGCAAGAGCCAGAAGCCTGGTCTTTGGCCATTTAATGTGCATGAGAAGGGAAGTGTGAAAATGTCCAGCAGTGGTCAGAGTCTTTGAAATAGGAAGGTACACCCCCATTCATTCAAAATACAGTCAGCAGGATAGAATTTTCAAATTTGACGTTACTTGTCATGTAGCTTTTCTCAAATTTACTAATATATTTTGCTTTGTGTTGCCATATACCATACTATATACAGTACTTTATAATACCTTACATTTCTTGTACAGACTGTTTTTGTCAAACATCAAAGTTATACTTACGGGTACTCTATGAATTAATGTATTCATCATGGATCTAGTTGCATTCCTGACAAGATTTTCCCTGGAAATTAGTTTATTATACCGTGATCCACCAGTGAAACTAACTGAATTTTTTTTTTACATGCACAGTAATAATAATTGAAACCTGTCATTCTGTACTGTACAGCAGGAGCCAAATTACAAACCCATTTGCAGATGTAGACACATAAAAAGCAGCTTTAGAAAGGAGATTTCCTGCTGCTATAATTTGAAGGCTAAAACACTGAGGAATGCATTGCTAACCTCCCGTGAAGAATGGGGCTTAATGGTGCCTTTTTGTTTTGTTTGCACTTCAATACAAAGTCATTTGTACAAAATCTCTCCATGTGGTTGTAAAACATGTTCTCTGCATGTACCAGCATGGATGAAATGCGCTATTATCCCCCTCCTTTTCCCACCTACTGTTCCTTCACCAATCACAGGACATTTGTTTATTCACTCCTGACCAGAGGAAAGCCTTTCCCACTTGATGTGATGGTGGCGGCAGGTTTCTTCTGCTCTCTGAATGGTTTCCTGCAGGGACACTACCTGCTGCACTGTGCCCAGTTTGATGATGAATGGTCAGCTGACTACCGCTATAAAACTGGTAGGAGCAAGATTTATTCTTTACTTTAAAAACTTTCATTTTTTAAAATATGAAAGGCTGAATGAATCTCATCCTTTTAGGTTTACTGCTGTTTTACATTGGAATGGCCATCAATATACACAGTGACTATATTCTTCGCAACTTGAGAAAACCAGGGGAGGAAGTTTACAAGATTCCTGCAGGTAACAGAAAATCTCACTAGAATAACTAGTCATCTACTCTGTGCTTGTAGTGACTTGTGGTCTTCTTAATTTCCCGCAGGAGGTCTGTTTGAATATGTGTCTGGTGCCAACTACTTAGGAGAGATAGTGGAGTGGTTTGGCTATGCTGTCGCAACCTGGTCCCTTCCAGCCCTCTCCTTCGCTGTGTTTAGCCTGTGTTTTATTGGACCGCGGGCCTACTACCATCACAGGTGCCCAAGACATTATTGAAAAGCTATGCAGTCCCAAAACAGAACATGAATACTCACCTGTCAACCTACCTAGAATGCCATATGCCATTTCTGAGTGACAGATGTTATCTTTTGCTCCTCTGTTGCAGGTTTTACCAAGAGCAATTCAAAGACTATCCCAAGTTACGAAAGGCTTTGATTCCATTTGTCTTCTGAGCAGAGAGTGGAAGACAAGGACAGGTCTCTGCTATCCTAATTTTAAACAGAAATTACACAAATCTGTTTTGATTTTGCCTGCAGTTGTTACTATATTGTATTCTACACAACCATTCTTATATTACAGATTCATTGTTCATCTCTTTCTGTACACACTGCTATGGAAGAAACACACTGAATAACTTTGTTGAAAGAGATTTTTTTTCACTAAATGTTCAAAGTTACATAACAAAAATAACATAGATCAACGTCATTACACTGAATGTAACACGGTTCAGATTTAAGTCTGACTGACATTCTATAACAATAAGGTGTTAGTAGTGAGTGTACAGCTTGTATAACAGTGTAAATTTGCGGTCCCCTCAAAATAACACATCACACAGCCATTAATGTCTAAACCGCTGGCAACAAAAGTGAGTACACCCCTAAGTGAAAATGTCCAAACTGGGCCCAAGTAGCCATTTTCCCCAGAATCATGTGACTTGTTAGTGTTCTAAAGTCTAGTGTGTCTGTGAATGGGGACCAGGTGCGTTAAATTTGGTGTTATCACTCTCACACTCCCTCATACTGGTCACTGGACGTTCAAAATGGCACTTCATGGCAAAGAACTCTCTGAGGATCAGAATTGATGGCCTAGGCTATAAGAAGATTACCAAGACCCTGAAACTGAAGCTGTAGTCCCAGAAGGAAGCCTCTTCTAAAGATGATGCACAAGTAAGCCCACAAACAGTTTGCTGAAGACAAGCAGACTAAGGACATGGATTACCGGGACCATGTCCTGTGGTCTGATCAGACCAAGATAAACTTATTTAATTCAGATGGTGTCAAGCGTGTGTGGCAGCAACCAGGTGAGGAGTACAAAAACGAGCGTGTCTTGCCTACAGTCTAGCATGGTGGTGGAAGTGTAATGGTCTGGGGCTGCATGAGTGCTGCCGGCAGTGGGGAGCTACAGTTCATTGAGAGAACCATGAATGCCAACATGTACTGTGACATACTGAAGCAGAGCATGATCCCTTCCCTTCGGAGACTGGGCCACAGGGCAGGATTCCAACATGATAACGACCCCAAACACACCTTCAAGACGACCACTGCCTTGCTGAAGAAGCTGAGGGTAAAGGTGATGGACTGGCCAAGCATGTCTCCAGACCTAAACCCTACTGAGCATCTGTTGGCCATCCTCACACGGAAGGTGGAGGAGCACAAGGTCTCTAACATCCACCAGCTCTGTGACGTTGTCGTGGAGGACGACTCCAGTGGCAACCTCTGAAGCTCTGCTGAGGGTTAAGAGGGTTATGGCAGTGCTGGAAGATAATGGTGGCCACACAAAACATTGACACTTTGGGACCAATTTGGACATTTTCACTTAGGGGTGTTTTCACTTTTGTGGCAAGCAATTTAGACATTAATGGCTGCGTGGTGTGTTATTTTAAGGGGACAGCAAATTTACACTGTTATACAAGCTGTACACTCACTTCTTTACATTGTAGCAAAGTGTCATTTCTTCAGTGTTGTCACATGAAAAGATATAATCCAATATTTACAAAAATGTGAGGGGTGTACTTGAAAAAAAGTTGGATAAAATATTTTCACATTGATTTGAAATAATGGATCCACCCAGGATTTGAGGCATTTAGAGGCCTACCTGTCAGCTGAGTAAGAGGCTCCATGAGAGTGATTCCCAGTCTCTCGATCACTATGATACCATGACTCTTCAGGTATTGCTGCAGGACTGGGTGTATGACCTTCTGGCACACAAAGAGCTTCACCTCATCTTTAGCCACCTGTTTTCCGAGCTCCAGGAGTTTATCCAGGATCTGTTGGTCTGTGTCGACACCTGGGTGCACCTCAATTATCCCATCTCCCAGTTCACAAAGGTCTCCAGCAAAAGATCCTATAATAAGGGGTTACATTATAACATTTGATTTCCTGGGGTTAGTCCTTGTATTCTCACAGCTGTCGGGTAGTGATTCATACCAATCAGCAGGTTCAGACTGGTAACATTTTGGATGTTGCACAATGTAATGAAAAAAGGGCATTGTTGTAGTAAACATGCCAATTTGATAAACTGTACCCTAAAAGCTGAATTCTTTTGATTCACTACATCTGCATACACTCATTTAAAAGGTCATTTAATGTTTCTCTGTATGGAGAAATGGTTGTTTCCTGCCAGCCCAAATACCAAACTCGGAGGATACACATATGTGAGCTGAGAACAAGGCTGATAAATTACAGTCAGTAACCTACAAAAGGGCAACAGATTAATAAACATGATCACTATAGTCATCTGAGTAGTAGGACAATAAGTCAACGACTTAACAAAGAGCTAAGACAAGACATTCCCACTGACTGACACCAGGGTTCAATCAGATGTTCAAAGCAATGCTAACATCTAGCATTTCACCTAAATCTTAACTTTCGAAAAAACAATACAAAACACCATTTATTCTTCATTTTAATTTTCACAAACCACATTGGATAAAATGCCTATTCTGCTAGTTCGTGTCTTGAATTACATATCGCACATCCAGTGCAAGATTAGCGGTTTCTACCGCAACTTGCAATGCGTTGAGTTTGGCCGTGAAGGAGTCAAGGACACGTGGCTGCACAGCAGTGTCTTCAGACAGGGGTGCAGGTGAGAACTGGGGGTATTTAGTGTTCAGGTAAGTCCACTTCTTATTTGAGCTACTTTCCACCAGTCCACAGCCACAGTAGCCCAAACTATCCTCCATATATTCTTTCACGGCATCTGCAGGGAGAGTCCAGTGGTGAGCGTGAGTCAGATCGATTAAAGAATTCCCACCATTGTGCTCCAGTGCGGTGGCCACAGACTCCAGAGAGCGGCAGAATCCCTCCACGCAGAGAAGGTACTCTGTCTGTGAGCACCCTAACGCCGATACGGCCTCTGTGACTTCATTCATGCTCTGTGATGAAAATACAGCAAAATCAAGACATGTTTTAATGAGATTGAATGAGACTCTGGATATGTGAAATCAATTAAACTGGACTGGTTTAAGGCTCAAGTATTGGATCTCACCTTGTGTCTGACGTGAGCAGCTAAGTGGATCTCAGTACACCCACCTCCAAGTAAGGCAGATGGCTCCCTCAGGGTGAGCCTCAATACATGTTCTGTCTTCTGGCACACCACCTTTAACAGACACACGGAAATTAACACATCAGTTCATCTGTCACATTTGCGTTAATGGACATTCTAAGCTGACAGTTTTGTTTAAAAGCAATTTTAAAACAATTTTGTAATGCCAGTTGATGGATTCTTTAATTAAAAGTGCTGTAGAAGAATTTAAACTCTCCCCCTGGATGTGCACCAAAATAATTGGTCCACTCACCCATCCATCCATGTTTCTCTCACTCTACAGTATCTATTTTAAACCCCAGAAGTCAACAGTACAGTGCCAACACTTTTAACTTCATCTTACCTTCAGCTCACTTAACATTGTCTCGTTCCTGTGGCAGAGGATCATCATGCAGATTGCTGACTCCGCAGGAGGATGTAAATGCAGCATTGTCTTGGAACCAAACTGCCTAATACTGAGCTCCTTTACCTTCCCATAGGCCTTGGCTGGAATTGTGGCATGTAATGTAGCCACAGGTTGAGCACCTATTGTGGACAGAAATGAAAGAGGACCTCACACAAAGTACAAGATATACCTTCATGGACACTATACATACAATATCTCACAAAAGTGAGTACACCCCTCACATTTTTGTAAATATTTGATTTTATCTTTTCATGTGACAACACTGAAGAAATGACACTTTGCTACAATGTAAAGTAGTGAGTGTACAGCTTGTATAACAGTGTAAATTTGCGGTCCCCTCAAAATAACACATCACACAGCCATTAATGTCTAAACAGCTGGCAACAAAAGTGAGTACACCCCTAAGTGAAAATGTCCAAACTGGGCCCAAGTAGCCATTTTCCCCAGAATCATGTGACTTGTTAGTGTTCTAAAGTCTAGTGTGTCTGTGAATGGGGACCAGGCGCGTTAAATTTGGTGTTATCACTCTCACACTCCCTCATACTGGTCACTGGACGTTCAAAATGGCACCTCATGGCAAAGAACTCTCTGAGGATCAGAATTGATGGCCTAGGCTATAAGAAGATTACCAAGACCCTGAAACTGAGCTGCAGCATGGTGACCAAGACCATACAGCGGTTCAACAGGACAGGTTCCACTCAGAACAGGCCTCGCCATGGTCGACCAAAGAAGTTGAGAGCACATGCTCAGTGTCATATCCAGAGATAGTCTTTGAGAAATAGACAAGTGCTGCCAGCATTGCTGCAGAGGTTGAAGGGGTGGGGGGTCAGGCTGTCAATGCTCAAACCATACGCTGCACACTGCATCAAAATCATCTGCATAGCTGTCGTCCCAGAAGGAAGCCTCTTCTAAAGATGATGCACAAGTAAGCCCACAAACAGTTTGCTGAAGACAAGCAGACTAAGGACATGGATTACCGGGACCATGTCCTGTTAACTGATCAGACCAAAATAGATGTCAAGCGTGTGCGGCAGCAACCAGGTGAGGAGTACAAAGACAAGTGTGTCTTGCCTACAGTCTAGCATGGTGGTGGAAGTGTAATGGTCTGGGGCTGCATGAGTGCTGCCGGCAGTGGGGAGCTACAGTTCATTGAGAGAACCATGAATGCCAACATGTACTGTGACATACTGAAGCAGAGCATGATCCCTTCCCTTCGGAGACTGGGCCACAGGGCAGGATTCCAACATGATAACGACCCCAAACACACCTTCAAGACGACCACTGCCTTGCTGAAGAAGCTGAGGGTAAAGGTGATGGACTGGCCAAGCATGTCTCCAGACCTAAACCCTACTGAGCATCTGTTGGCCATCCTCACACGGAAGGTGGAGGAGCACAAAGTCTCTAACATCCACCAGCTCTGTGACGTTGTCGTGGAAGACGACGCCAGTGGCAACCTCTGAAGCTCTGGTGAACTCCATGCCCAAGAGGGTTATGGCAGTGCTGGAAGATAATGGTGGCCACACAAAATATTGACACTTTGGGACCAATTTGGACATTTTCACTTAGGGGTGTTTTCACTTTTGTGGCAAGCAATTTAGACATTAATGGCTGCGTGGTGTGTTATTTTAAGGGGACAGCAAATTTACACTGTTATACAAGCTGTACACTCACTTCTTTACATTGTAGCAAAGTGTCATTTCTTCAGTGTTGTCACATGAAAAGATATAATCCAATATTTACAAAAATGTGAGGGGTGTACTTGAAAAAAAGTTGGATAAAATATTTTCACATTGATTTGAAATAATGGATCCAACCAAGATTTGAGGCATTTAGAGGCCTACCTGTCAGCTGAGTAAGAGGCTCCATGAGAGTGATTCCCAGTCTCTCGATCACTATGATACCATGACTCTTCAGGTATTGCTGCAGGACTGGGTGTATGACCTTCTGGCACACAAAGAGCTTCACCTCATCTTTAGCCACCTGTTTTCCGAGCTCCAGGAGTTTATCCAAGATCTGTGAGTCTGTGTCGACACCTGGGTGCACCTCAATTATCCCATCTCCCAGTTCACAAAGGTCTCCAGCAAGGGATGCACTGAACAGCACCACGCGCAGTGGATTTGTATGCAGGTTCTCTAAGTTGTTCTGGCAAACGACATCAGGCATGTCCACCAGTAAACCTGGAAACACTGCAGAGTTTAGCACAGAATGGCCTTCAACAGAGACAGTCACTACTTTGCCAAGTCTGACTTTTCCTGGTCTGTCACGGGGAACAGTAAGTAAAAAAGCTTGTACAGCCAACTTGCTGATGTAAAGTGCCTCTGGCTCTGTTAGTCCACATGCTGGTTTGCTGGATATGACACTGCGAGCTAATTTGATCAAGTTCTGGCTGCTGCAGAAGTCGAGCTTCACTTTACACGCACAGTCTTCTTGTTGTAGGTAACTGGTGCACAGACCGAGCAGGTGCTTGTTCAGTCGAATCGCCACATTTCCTCGGAGACCAGACTGCTTCGCTTGCTCAATAAGAGACAAACAAAGAATGGCAGCAAACAAGCCGCAGTCACTGAAACGAGAAACGTGGTTGAGAATGGAGGTTTTGATCAGATTGATAAAAGGCTTCGAGGAGGAAATGGCTGGAAGGAGAACAGAGGAGGTTGAAGTGGTTACAACGAGCCCTCCGATGTTGTTGTGAACTTGTTTTAGTCTACCCGTCGGACCAAAACAAGATCTCAGAAGCTGCCTCAGCAAATTAAGCTTATTACAAATATCAGTGTCGTCCAGTGGCAGATCCGTACAAATAGATGGAGATTTCTTGACCAGTCGAGACATCACAGCACCTTCCCGAAAGTAAGCAGGTTGACCTTATGAACATTGACATGACAACCTAACGTTACAGAAGTCACTTGGCATAATGTTACAGTGGCGACAGCAAGACGACTTCTAAGCGACAATAGTGTCTTTTAAACTGTCTGTTAAGCGAAATTTGATAGAAAACGCTGCCTTGATGTTTCCCTTTTAAGCACCTTAGTTTGCGTCCGTCGGATAGTGAGACATAAAGCATTGCCTGACAAATAATTGACCACTTTTGGATACGGGCTTCATAATAGTTTATTAAAACAAATTATACAATGTTACTTTGCAGTATATGATAAAAATTATATTTAGATACAATTCGACAACGTTAAATTTCGAGATTAATACTGGCGTTTTTTAACGCGCAACTCGTTTCCATGGAAGCGGGGTAACGGTCACAGCATTGGGTCCTAGTGGGGTCCTATCCGATAAACCGTCGCATTTTCTCGCCGGTCTTTAGAAATTGTTGCGTACACGACGGATAATTAAATTCAAACTCTGCTTTATAGCAGAGCTGGACAGTCGCTTTACTACCGTACTCGGTAGTTGCGAGGTATTTTTTTTGCCAAACGCCATTCACTGAAAGCTGCGATTACAATACTGGCTTTGCAGTTGTTGGACTACAAACAGCATGTGACGTCATCTCCTGCAGCCTCATCGTTTGACAAACATTCAAAACTGTTGGCGGTATGAAATATCTTGTTCATTGTATGTTACCTTATTAATGTTTACACAACGTTATCACCCAGGTTTGTGTATTTCACTTTTGTAGTGGCACTAACATGTAATGTGTTAACGATGGTTTAATGTTGGAGGCATCATTTTGTTAAGAGTAAGGTTAATCATTAACGTTAACCTAACGTTACTCGACAAACCCTTACTTTACAACAACTACTTAAACTGTAATTATTCTAAGGCTAGAATTGTTTAGCTGTATCTAGCTGCGTTTGAAGAGGTCACGTTAATGTAGTCTAAGTAGTTCTCCACAACCTGACCATATTAACGTTAGAGTTAATGAAAGTCAAAGCATACGTTAACTTTAACCAGTGTTAGCTAACGTTAATAACTGATTCACCATCAAAATCGTTTAGGTTGGCGGTAGGACCTTACAGTGTATTGCGTTTAGGAGAACCATAAATATCTGTAAGAAACTGAGTACTGTGTAACTAATAACAAACCTACCAAGGTATCTCTGCACGAGATGAGTAACACACTATAAGGCCACCACAGACGCTCCATAACAGTCTATTAAAAGACAGATAACTAGTGTTATTTTCTTAGGAAGATGGTAATCTAAACCTGTCAGTTTTATATGTTCTCTACGATGTATGATCACTGGATTGGTGTTTTTAGGTTATCATTTGTAATCCACGACTATACACTTGTTTCAGGTGAAACTAGCAGGACTCCTGTGTTCACTGCAATGGCTCCTCTCAAATTTGTCATTAAGGTAAGTGGAAATGAAATATACAGTGCAGACCCTTGTAGTGCAGTGAACTGTAGAATATTAATGTGTTAAAGATTTATGTGCAACAGCAATTGAAAATTCAAGCTTTAACTTTTTTTTTTTTTGCACATAAAAGCTCAAGCAAATTTTCAACAAAGACAAGTTCTGTATGTGTGTGTGTGTGTGTGTGTGTATATATATATATATATATTTTTTTTTTACTACTTCCAGAAAGTGACTTGAGTTGTTCTGCAGCAGGGGAAAATACTAATAATAATAGGAAACAGGAATAAATGCTTGCTTCTCCAACATGTACAGGATCAATATTCTGTTGCAACGTTTTCTGTGTTGGTTATGTTCATTATTTGGTCCTTCTCCGTAACAAATTCTTTGGCCACTAGGGGGAAGTACAGCTACATGTTTCAACTGTCCTGCCTCCACATTCTGATGTTGTTGTTCATCCTTTTGAACACGTTATTCAGGGTTTCTGGTCACCTTTTGAAATTCTCTGACTGCCTCCCTCAGTGCCTTTTTGTTAAAGGACCCAGCCATACAGAGCAGAGGAAACTCATTCTATTAAAAAGCCAAGCTGTTCATCCTCATTTTGATGCTCTGTCAGGAATAATGCACATCAGATGTTTTTGTTAAGTGCAGGAAAAGCCGCTGGTCTCTCTTTTGTTGATGTTTCATTTATTGAGAGTTCTGGACGAGGGCTGCAGACATTCGCACTGATCTCTCACATCCTCCGTAATGCCATGTGTGCCTGGTTGACCAGATATTGCATTCACCCCCTTTATTTGTTTCATATGCATGCCTGCATACAGGCTACCCCACCACCCCCCTCAGCTGGAGGGAAGTTCACAAAAGGTTCCTTCCCACTGGGTACATAATGATACTGTTGTGTTACTCTGCCTGAGAAAATGCACACAGCCTTTACCATGCTTAACCAACTAACCACAAACAAGTATGTTAGGAGGGACCAGTCCAAACAATAGCATTAAAGGCGCTACCCTGAGCTCGTCTTTCGCAAAACAAACACCACTACCACCGTGTTTTTCAATGAATGAATTAACTTCTTAGAATATTAAAGAAGAAAAATCTGCTTAGAGACATTGTTTACACAAAGGCATGTTGCAAACTCTATTTGCCAGCTCGCATAGAGAGCGAGGATTATTGAAGCAATTATGAGTTATGTTCTTGGATTCACCATGCCATGTTTAGTAGGCTGTTTCAGCGGTGTGTTTTATGATTCTTCCTCCTAAGATGTTTTCAAAGCAACCCCCTCCCTGGTCTGTGGAACTGCAGGAGGTGCTGGTATGCTCCTTCTTAAATAGGCTTAGACTATATAGTGACCTGCCACTTCTCAGAACTCCTGAAAAGGGCCTGCAGGCTAAAACACTGATCCACTGAAGCTCTTGCTGTATGCCAGTACATTACCACTGCAGAGCCCTGCAATCTGCCTTCTATTAGCAATATGTACTGCTGACTTTCTCACCAACTAATGTAGTAAGAGACCGAGACTAAAGATTGAGGTATCACAGAGTAGTTTAATGTCATGTGCTGTTTAGCGTTGTTGTCACTCATAGATGAGCTCATATCCGACCACACATCTTGCCTCTCTACACAATCATTGCAGTCTGATTAGAAACATTTTGACACTTTACTACTTGGGGAATATTTCACAAGAAGATGACAAGAGTTACAAAAAGAGCTCCCTTTCATGTCAACACTGACCTACATTGCTGTACAGAATTCACAATTCCTAATGAGGCCCAACACTTCTCAGCCTGCTATTTCTCTCAATCTACCAATTTCTCAAGGATGGGTCTGAGTTTTGTTTGCTGAGTGTTACCTGGAGATATTCCTGTCTGTTCTTGCTGCTGGAATTCCATTCTTGGGTTGTGTCTCTTTTTTTTTTATCATCAAATAAAGAGGACTCAGGTGTGCTAACATTCACCTGAATGAAGGACACTTTGCACATAAAACACACCGCGCAATATCTGTAATTAACATTCGTCTCAATAATAATGAAGTCTTATATTTCAGTATCTGGCAGTTTGAAAAATTGGAAAGAAAAAAAGTTTTTTTTTAAAGGGGAAACCCAGGTGACTCACAGCACAGAGAGAGCTGGGAATGAGGCAAATAATGCCTGAGAGCAAGGTTGTCACACCCACAGATCTAAAGAGCTCCCCTGGGTTCTTTGCAGACTTGCAGAAAGAGGTATGGAGAGAGAAAAAGAGAGAGACAAAGGGAGAGTGGGAGAGATGCAAGTTTTATTGAGTGAGACTGCATCTGCTGCCCCTTCTCTCCCAATGTAAACATCTGCGGCTGGTTAGTGTTAGCCTCTGAGCTAAGTGCAGTCCGAGAAGGTCTGGTTCTTATATGGTGCGATAGCAATGGCAAAGGGCAGCGAGGTGGGGAGGCGGGTGAAGCCGCTCGTAGAGTTTGGGCCCCGTGCCCATCTTGGAGCAGCACAGGCGGGAGGATGGAGAGCCGGGTCTGGGAGAGAGATAAGGGAAGGTAGAGAGTGTTTTGGGAACTGAGAGTGATATAGTCCAGAGCCCCGACGACAAGAAAGGGAAAGGAGCCGTCAGTGGGTTTCAGTCCGCATTTGTTCATTTACAGACAGAAAATATGAAGGAATTTTGTCATGTTGTGCTTTGGACTGTGGGCAGCTTCAGCCTCAAATGTTTTAATGTTTTTTGTCTTTGTTAACCCCTTTTTTCACCCTAGGGGTCATCAGATTGGCAGTGGGGAGAATTAGGATAGAGAAGTTGAGCTTAGCCTTCAGGAAGACTCAGCCTTATTCATTCACTGTGCAACAGCACACAAAAGATGGCACAATAAAGGATTTGGTATTAAGTAGCGCTCCTTGCCGCCTCTCATTCAGCCTTCAGACTCTGTTTCAAACTCTAAAAAGCCTGTGCAAGACGGAGGACAAAGCGGTGCTGGCCCACTTTTGTGTGTATGAAAAGAGTAACTTCCTCTAGAACTTGGTCCTTTATGAAACGTTTCTTTTCAACAACAGCGACAGTTGCTCAGAGTATTGCCTTAAATGTGTCAAAGCAAAATACACAAAGTACGCTAGCTCATGAATTTGATGAATTAATATGTCAGGTTAATTAAATATTTTAGGACCCTGCTTTTGATACTGTAGAGATGGTGTTTTAGAGCAAGGTAGGCCTGTACCGTGTGTGGTAGTATTTGCTGAGAGGACGTTTATCTTGCTGTAAACCTTGCAATTGGCTTACTGGATTTTTTTTTTTTAGGTACTTTCAGTGTGCTTTGGTCAAGTAAGGGGGGGTCTGTATTCCTGCATCTACAAAGTATTGTGCTGCTTGCAGAGATATCACTAAAGAGTGGGCATAGCTGGGCTTCAAGTGGGGGAATACATGGAGGTCATAGTTCATGACAGAGTTCAGCTTAAAGATCCACAGGTCATTCTTTGTGGTGGGAGTTGACAAATTTAGACCACATGCTGTGATTGTAGTCAGAGCCTTTGTGTAAAATTAGATTCTGCTGCTTTTTTGTCTTATCTGCCACTCTCAACACAAACATCCTTTGTAAAAAGCCCTGATAGCTGCACCTCAAGAGCACAGCTTTGACTCAATTGACTTGAGATTGACACTTGAGCAGGAAATTTGTGCCTCCATGAAACCCCCAGTTTTGCTGGGCAAATAAATTGTTTTCTTATTAGTGTGATTGCATTAGTTCGCATTCCTGATTGCCTGTTTCTGAGAAGCTCAGGGAATCACATGCTGTTTTTGTGTAAGGGGCAGACCAATGTTTATCATTAATGTCCAGTTCCCAGTTGAGTCTTGTCTGCTGCTCTAATGTGATAAAAGGAAGTTGGTCTAAGGCTACATGTCTGGCTTTCAGCCCGAAACACGGACTAAATCAGAAGCTCAGAAACCACTTTAGGGGATTCACCCTGCTGTGTCGCTCTGTAAGGGCCGCACTCCCTGTACTGCTCTTTTCATTCCAGGATATTTGATCAAATTAACATTGTGTAAGATTGTTGTAGAAGACTGATCTTGTGGTCCCGATTTTCAGGATTATGTGACTGCAGGGGACAGTAGAAACACCTCTCATTATAAAGCAGTCCAATGCTGCACCACCATTAACTAAAACCTCAAATATGACTATGGGGGTGAATTAAAATTTCTCTGTTGACGAAACTTGAACGTTTTAAGTTTCACAGGATTTATTGCAGCGTCATTATATCATTTTACCCAATAAACTGGTAACATAGTGGCAGAGTTCCTATATTCATATGTAAGCCATTCTTAGGTCTCAAAAGTCAGAGACTAAGGTCAGGATACCAAACCCATCCAGCATGTGTCAAATCCAACCCCAAGAAACCACTGTGGGGCTCATCCACATGTCTGTCCCTGTATTTTGATTGACAAGGTCTGACCCTCTGTTGCTAGGCTTTCCCACACATGGGTAATTGTTGGAGGCAGTCAGCTGAGGCCACCAGTCATCCGTGGACTGCTGTGAGACAAAGGGTGGTGGATGGGGAGAATACTGATCTGCAGGGATGAGCTGATACTGACAGGCAAAGTGCACACATTTTATACATGAAGAGCTTGCATATAAGGGGGGCTCTGTTCTGGTCCGTGGCGTTCTTGTCTTTGTGAAAGCATGTTTACGTACAGCAACTTTTGTTTATAGTCTTGCAAAGTTTGTAAAAGGATTTTTTTATGCTTGTCTTTTGTACTCTCTCCTGTTCTCACACATTTCAAGATATGGAATGATGAGTCACTGGATCACAGATGAAAGCATTGCCTTTTTAAGAGACTTAGAATAGCATTCGTTTCCCATTAGTCTTGGTGACACCGATGTAGAGACATACATAGTACAAGTTGGCGCACATCAGGTCTTAAGGACATGACAAATTCTGCAGATGAGCAGTGCAAACTTGGATTGAAATTGATTTGAACGTTCTCCTCTAGTTGACCTGCATGTAGAAATAAGGAAATAGCTTGACTTCAGTTATTATTTGCAGAAAGACGATCAGAAAGGAAAAAGGGATGGGGCTGACAGCCCATATTTAGCCTTCTTTGACGAAGGAGCTAACCTAACTAATTATAAACAAGAGAAGGAGACAACTAAAGAGAGTTTGGACTTGCGAAGTGTAGGCTTGTGTCTAGAGTAGTGGGGGCCTTTCCACTAGACGCCCTGTTAATTCATTCTCTCGCGTCATCTTGAGAGCAAGGCCGTAGGAACATCCCTCAAATCTGGGTTGTAGAGTTTAGTCATTCTGTCTGCGATACTTCAGCCCAGGGGACGAGCCTGGCTCAAAACAAAGCTTTTAGTGTGCGTAAGTATTCCCCGTTACTAAATGAATAACCTCTTCTGTTTGTACACACTCTTTTCCAAGTTCTGCACCGAGCGCCTGAAATCTGTGTCTGGTTTTGTCTTTATACAGCTTTGTGTTTTTGCTACCCCATTCTGTTCAGTGCTTTTTGCTGCATTGTCACTCTGGGTTTTAGGGCAGAACTTGTTGCTCCCCTTTGTCATGTTGTGGGTGGTCTCAGTCCATCCATTACTTCCTAGTCCAGGGAGAGGCGAAGTTCACACGAGACCCACATCCATTTGCTCTCTGCAACGGGCAGTTTTTGCACTCATGTGTAAACCATAATCAGGCTAGCCTGAGAAAGATGTAACAGCGACTTAACCAGCCGCGGCATTTCTGGCTTCCCTGTCCCTTGTAGCATATTGTCATTGACACAACGACGTAGTGCTTCTGGAATCCACTCCACAGCCCTCTACTCAGCTTTCTCCAGCACTCAAAAGTTGCAGAGCAGAAGTACAGAAACATGTAGTGCTTTAGGGTAGATCTGTTGAGTTTTATCACCACTCTGACACAAAGTAGGATAATCCTCATTTATGTGGTACATCTTTAAACTTTATTTGTGCAGCCTGCTCTGATCTAAGGCAGTGATTGCACTGCAAAGCTTATAGAACGAAAATTACTTTTACGCTGAGTGAGGGGAAATATGAGGAGCCAGAGAGGGCCATACTGTTTTTGTAACAAGATTGGTAAAGAGATGGCTAGACACAGAAATAGTAGGGAGAGGGCTGTTGTGAGAGGCCTGGGGTGATGTTTGAGGACACAGGGGGTCATTGTGGTTTGTCTCGCTGTCAATCACCCACACTCTGATTTCCTTTGTTGTCCGTGAGCTCAATGCCCCTCAGCAACCTGTGGCTGTCCTTCCTCTTTGTGTTACAGTGTGGGAACTTTGCTGTGCTGGTGGATCTCCACGTTCTGCCCCTGGGCGGCCAAGAGGACGCCAGCTGGTTTCCTACGGACCACATCGAGGTAGAGACACAGGGAGAAGGGCGTGGGTGTGAATAAGTGTGTGAGTGAATATATGGCTTCTGTTCTGGCTGGGGGCCTTTTCAAAAGACAGCAGCAGCGTGGAATCTGAAATGACTCTGAGCCTTCTGTCTATTCTTCTTAGGGGGTTTCATTGTAAAACTGTCTCTCCACCTAGCCACTTGTGGAGTTGCCTTACTGGCTATTCACTTGATACTTCTACTGTCCCGCTGTTTATTCATCATCAAAAATTGTGTTCTCTCAGCAGTTCAACAACATGTTGCTGTACTGAAATATCTGCCTCTGTTTGTAGGAGGTCACAGCCCTGGTTCGAGGTGCTGTGGAGCAGAGGGTTAAGCAGTACACAGAGTCCCTCCACAAAAAAAGACAGCCCAAACAGAAGAAGGAGCTGGCTCCTGCTTCAGCCTTTTTTGTAAAAGGTAACATCTTGTGACCCTCATTACACCGCACTAGAGCCAAATAGTCTATATTTATTATGACATAATTATTGGGTTTCGGTCCATCATCGTGTATAACATTGCTTCTTCATGTGTTTAATGGGGCAGTAGTTTAAATTTTTATTTGGTAATGAATACACATTATATATTATGTCTTGATTTTACTGTTGCTCATTCCTCCGAATGTAGTCACCTTTGTCTTCCATTTCCTTGTCTTAGGTGTGTCTATCATCAACTCTTAAATAAGTGCACATGGGGGTGGGCTCTGAGGAGGAAGGGAATGGAGTTACAAAACAGTCTAAATAGTATTCCATGACTACCTTTTTTGAGGTATAGTGTGGGAGGAAAGACAACACAACTAGTCGGGACACGGTGGCTCTCTCTACGCCCAGGGTGTGACCACGAGGCAAGAACTGATAGGAGTTTTTATATTGTGTTGCGCTGTTTAACTTGGCATGAAACGTAAGTCCATTAAAAGGGCTGATGTGTGTTACTTTTGCGTTTAAAGTGATGTTGGCTCACCTCTGTATCTGTACTTCCACCTAAAACAGTTGCCTTGACACACATACAACCTTATATACACAGAGAAAAATCTATAAATTATGCTCCAATGTGAATAAGCCAATTCAATTCATTCCTGTTTATCCAATGCAAGTACATTCCTCCAGCCACCCACACACGTGCCTTTGAAGCGCTGTAAGCTTAGCTTCAGAGAAACCCTGCGGTTACGTGTTGTAAGGCAGACAGGTTTGTCACAGGTAGCAGTTAAGGGCAGTTAAAATGGTCTCACTCAGCAGGGTAGGCCTGACTGTGATAGCGGGATTACAAGGCAGTCTGCCCCATAAAGTTTCCCCTGTGGCTGCAACGCTGCCTGTCACGCAACTTTAGTCTTCTCATCCGCTAAAACTGTGTGTCCATGTGTGCATTTGTTTTCATACACAGATACATGTGTACATGTTATTGGACTTTTGTCATTTTCTTGATTCACGTATGGTCATCATAAGTAGGCATACGGCTTGCATGACATTATCTGCGAGAATCAGAAGGAGCGACAGTCTGTTGGAGAGATATATCCTCCCCCTGGGCTACGTGTGGACAGGCTGACAGTGTAAGGTTACTGAAAAGCTTGTCTCATATTCCCCATGACAGACTGAGGAGAGACAGACATCTCTAATGATGGTGATCACAGACTGAGGCTCCACACACACACACACACACACACACTTTCACTCCACTGTGTGAACAAGGGGACTATCAGTATTTCAGCAGTGAAATATGCATGTAAAAATGATTAAGCTCCTTGCAGCTTTGCCAAAAAAGAATGTAACCAGAGGAACACGACTCCACACCACATAGGAGAATTTTTCCCCTCACAGAACATGAAAAGGTATAGCGCCTTAAACAGGCCTACACAGTTCATGTGCTCTAGTCCTATTAAAGGTCTTAAGTGAGTGTAATGACATTCTTGGTCTTTTTCATTGTCCCATGTGAGGGAGGCGGCAGAGCAGTAAAGATGGAGACTGTGACTGTGAGAAGCAAGCAGGCAGGCAGGAGCCATAAAAAGGGGAGGACAGACTTAAGGCTTAGGGAGGAAAGCCCAGCAAACCTCAGGGTGGGTATTAAGTATAGGGGGTCATCTATTCTGCAAGAAGGTCAAATGCTAACCTGCTAATCCACGCAGGACTTGCAGACTGCCCATAGCAGGGAATGTGGAAGCTGGTTTTCTGCGTGCATCTGTTTGAGCCGTAGACCAGTTTGCATCTGTGTGAAGCATTATGTTATTTGAGAGCAGAATTAGGCTGGAAATCCTGGATCGAGATGTGTGTACGTGCTGGAACACGTGCACATATATGTTGTTGCATATGGAGAAAGGTGTCAGGCGGGGTAGCACTGATGTCTCGGCCAAGAATAGGCAGATGGAGTGTGGTGCTATGTGTGGGATGGTATGGGAGGGGGATTGTGGGTCTTGTATAAGGCGGTGTTTGAGCTGGTGCCATTGTGAAATCACAGGGGCTTCCGCCAACAGACAGCAGTAAGAACAGCGTAACAGCCTCAGCTGTTGGCACTTCAAATGAGCTATCAACAGCTTTTAACATTCCAAGGTCCTCCAGTGCAAGTGTTTGTATCCGAGTTATCTCTGTGGGTTATTGTATTTAGGTATATATGTTGTGTTGGGTGCATATGTGTGTGTGTGTATAGCACCCGGTGAACATGTCAGAAAGGGGCTTAACCCAGTTCTTCTGCCAACATAAATCCAAAGTCATTTCTTCAAATCTCAGCTGCAGAGGCCAATTTCCAACTGTCAACCCAAGCCCCCCTCATTCCTTTTTTTTTTTACCCATGCTACTTGAGACTTCATGATTAGCTCATAGTGATGTGATTTATTTATGTTTTTAGAGAGATGAACAGAGGGAACTTTTCCCACCAAACATCTTGGCTCCGAACAAGCCGAATGGACATGCTAGACTTTAGAAACCCAGGGAAGGGGAGCTTGGGAGAGGCCTCATGCATTCTCCCCGGTAGATTGTGTTGAACACACCCACATTTCTCAGTGTAATTACAGATTGAAAATGAGTGGATAATAGGTTCTCTGGGCTTTGAGGAATACATTTTTGTCATTTGATATGATATTGGAATAAGGAAGCTGTTGTTTATGCTCTATGACAGCAAGATTTGTCTTCATGAAGATGCCACTGGCTTGTAGAAAACAGAAGGAAAACCTTTTCCTTTGAGACATGGCCCCCGTGGACAACAAATGCTGTACAGACTGCCCAAGAGATTGTTTGCCAGACATTATCAATAAACTTCTACTTTTTGCATTAGATTAGATTTAGTTGACTTGCTGATTGTGTGTTATCTTGATTTTCATTTGCTTGTGGTCGAGTATTACTTTACCTCGAGGGGATATTGATTTTGTAGTCCATAATGGTGTATATATTTGTGTGTATGTGCACAGTGTAAACTGAGAAGACTGAGATTTTACACGGATTTAGTTAACATGCCATTTCAAACTGCCAAAGCACATTACCAGATGTCTGACGCCTGCCATTAGTATTGATACCGCCACATTGATCTCTCCATGTGAGGCAGAGCTCGGGTGTGGTTTAGCCTGGTGTTTGAGAGACTTCCTAGCAGTCAGAGTAGTCAGAGGAGCCCTGGCAAAGTGGTACCTACAGTAGAGTCCATTTTTGCTCATGGCAGAGCTGGTTCCTTCTTCCTCTCCTTGCACAGGTGCCAGGGCTTAGGGGGAGGGAACACCTGCCAGCCTGTTTCCCCATGGCCACAGCAGGCTGGAGAGGCATTTTCCCAGGCTCCCCAGATGAATGGTCACTAATAGCCGTGGGAGAGGGCTTTGCGAGTGCTGCACAGTGTACCACTGACTCCTCTTGGCAGCCCTATGAAGGGGGCTTAAGGCAGCCTGGCTACGGCCATTGCGGGAAAAGCACAAGTGTTGCTGGATAGCTTTACTGTTGGAGAATGTGTTTACGAATGACCATCTCCTTCCCAATGAAGAATGCGGAGGATGTGTAGTGACTAAAAGGGAGATGGGTAATTTTTGCACTGCCCTGTAATGGATTTAGCTTTGTTTGGCTTCTCTGGGGCTTTGAAGGGCTATACAGTTTATGAAAAAAACTATTCAGTCAATATGCGACTTTCAGTGTCCAAAATGCACAAATATTTACACATGCATTGTATGTCCATATTAGGGAGAAATATTACTTGACAACCTTTCTGCTTCCTACTGATAGTTCACAGCACTTTTACTGAAGACACTGAAGCATTTTTGTAGTGACAACCTGCATTAAGTCACCTTGTTTCTTCTCAGTGCTACCATGGCTTTTACTTTACATTTGTTTGAGTGGCTTTTATGCACGGACTGGCCTGTAAATAGAGAAGCATGCCTGTGGCAGAGTTACCTGGCCTGCTCTGTGTTACTGGGCGTGAGGCAGGCTGGGATTAAGGCGATAGGGAAACGGAGACCTGTGACAGGAACAAAAGAATTCCAAGGCCCGGGCTGGAAATGGATCCTGATCAGAGTAGCTAGTCTGGCCAGCCTGCCCCTCTCCCCACTTGCCCTCCCTCCCCAGGCCCCTGCTGGGCAACCCCCTTCCCCCTGGTGCTTTGTGGTGTTGCTGTGGCCCTTTAAATCCTTCCTGTAAGCCCCCAGCCTTACTCAGCAGCAACACATAGGGCAGCCTGACTCCATTGTAAACCCCCCTCCCTATTATTGCACACAGACACTGTCCTTCTTTTTTTGACCTTTGCATTTTTTTACATTTATGCACTCTCCTCTCCTCTCCTTGTGTTGTCTCTTTATGTTTTCTCACTTTCTCCTTCTCCGCAGGGTCAGCTGTAGTCTCTTAGGACACAACCACAATCCCCGCCATAGCTGTCACACCACACTCTTTTCCCATATAATTAGGGCCTGAGCCTGAGCCTGAGCATGGATCACATTCATGTGACTGTTCCCATTTACCACAATCTGGTCTGGGAGATGGCACACACTCTCTCTTGAACTCATGCTAAGTGTTCTGCCTGACCAGAATGCCTTGTTTTTAGGAATTACTGAAACATTTCGGAGGATGTCGCTGTTATTCTCTGCTCTTACTTCACTTTGAAAGAAACAGGCCAGTTTCATGTGCTCTTGTGAGCTGTGTGGTTTTTCCTGTGGACAGATGTCAATCTGGTTCTGTGTGCAAAATTTGCCTTGTGTTGTCAGGAACACATAATTGTAAACCTTAATGCTTTCCAGGCATTTTATTCACCTAAGGCCAGTGCGTTATATCATTCAAACATTTAAAAGTTTAAATAAAATTCAGAATTTCAGGTTCAACACAGAATTTTCTTCTTTTCTTCATGGACTTACCCACTGACTAGTGATACCTGCCATCATTAATAAGTGGTAGCAAAATCTAGATGTTAAGATTCATAAACAGGGGCTAGCAGATGTGCAGTGGACCCAGCAAGCAGAGACAGCGTGC